ACTTAACTAATATGCTAAAACAATGAGTATCAAACAAGTTTTCACACTAATACAGTAAACTACAGGTAAATCTGACACATCTCACATCAACATGCTTTTATCATCTTTTTAAGTTGAATTCATGTGCTGGCTAGATTTACTTATTGTAGTCATTATGTCAACAAGGTTTAGCTTAATTCAATCATGGCCACGAATTAGGAACATCGTAATAATCAATAAAACTAGCAATCGGGAATTCGTTATTATTTCTTAGCAGTTTTCACGTTGGCTACGTAAACTTTGCATCGTTTTAAGGTTATAAAATTAAACTTAATTGAAAATCGGTAAAGTTACTCACTCTGATTGCTGTCCATAGTCATCCATCTTTAGTGATCCAATTCGGTAGGTCGCGCTGCTACAAAAGAATAGGGTCCTAGAACTGCGGTCCTGAAACTGCAGCCTCCGGTTGTGCAGGAACATACTATTGGGCCTGGCTCGCCAGATCTCTCACCCTTTACTAACAAATGATCAGCTGAACTGTTAGCAATTTATGTGAAAAATAGTAAAGCTATCAAGCCTTTGAATGTTTTAGGGAGTCAGTTATTGATAAGTCAACTAGCAGATGATACCACCCTGTTTCTTAGAGATGTAGAGAAGATTTCAGTTGCCATTAATCTGGTGTCTCATTTTTCAAAAGCTTCTGGTCTGCAATTGAATTTAAAAAAGTGTGAGCTGATGGCACTTCATAGTCATGCTGAATCTCAATTGTTCAATATTCCATTAAAAAATGAGATAAAATATTTAGGAATTGTTATTACTAAAGACCCTAAAATTAGAGAAAAAAGTAACTTGATTGATAATATGAAAAAAAGTCAAAATATTTTAAATATGTGGGTTCAAAGGGATATTTCTATATTTGGCAGAATTCTCATACAGAAGTCAGAAGCACTTTCCAGGTTGATTTACCCAGCATTTCCTTTGAGTATATCTGATAGGTGGATAAAAGACATTAATCAAATTCAGTATCAATTTATTTGGAAAAGCAAGCACCATTATATAAGAAAATCAGATGCAGTGAAGCCGATCAGTGAGGGAGGGTTGAACGTAATTGATTTCGATGTTATGAATGGTACCCTTAAGTTGAGGTGGCTCCAAGCCTTCCTTAGAAATACACATTCAGTTTGGTTTAGCTTTTCTTCTCAAATTTTTGATTCTCTTGGGGGCATTGATTTCCTTTTAAGGTGTGATTTTGAGCCATCAAAATGAAAGTGTAAATTATCATCTTTTCATAGTCAGGTATTATTATATTGGAAATTAATATACAAACACAACTTTTCGCCACATAGTTGTTCTTGTTGGAATAATAAGTGTATCCTTATTAAGAGGAAATCTGTGTTTTTTCAGGACTGGATGGACAAAGATGTCTGGTCCATTGTACACATTATGGATGGGGATGGAAATTTTCTTGGTTATGATGATTTTTGTGAAAAATACAATATTATTTGTACTAAGGAATTATATTTTTCTTTGTTGAAAGCTGTTCCTGCTGGTTTGGTTCAGCTGATTAGAGGTGCTTTGTGTTATTCACCTGTGATACCAAGATTAGGTAATCTAATCATCTCTGGTATTAATTTTACAGAGCAGAGCTGTAATAATAAGGTTTTAAGAACATTAGTAAATACACAGACTTTCCCTTCTAAAGTAAAGAAGAGACCCCTTGTCTATGATTTTCCTGAAGATAAAGTGGTTCAAATTAGAACAAGATTTCTCTCTTTTCCACTTCTACCAAAGGTAAAAGAAGTTCAGTTTAAAATTATTAACGATATTTATCCCTGTAATGAGTTCCTCAGACACAGGTTTAATTTGGATTGTAATGGATGCACCTTTTATGAAGCAGAAACAGAGTCATTGGAACATTTGTTTTATTTATGCAAATTCTCAAAAAAATTATGGGATGACCTCTATGCTTGGTTAAGTTTGAATTATGTAATACCTGACTTTGATTTTAAAACTGTAAAATATTTGTCCTTTTGTCAGAATTGTGATGTTGAATTTTTGGTTAATAATATTGGGATTTTGGCCAATCCTCCACATGAACTAAAAATACTATATGATCGCATTAACCCCTTTAACTGAGGATTTATAGACGTGCCTTGTCTTTTAGAACTAGAACAATAGGACAGGGATACATTTATTCACAGGAATACTTCACCACGAACACATTACATGCTCATAGAACACATACCAAAGACACTATATTTATCTTAATATGGAGCTAATTAAAGACAGCAGGGAGAGAGAGCAGATTGGTGTTTGAAAAGATAATGTAGTTGGTGCAGACAGTGGAGACCATAGAGGGACTCAGTGATCGACAGAGACAGGCAGCACCAACAGCTGAGTCTAAGAATGGAGACAGCAGCAGAGAGGAATGAAGATACAGTACACAGGTTAGGCTAAATATGGCTGAATTGAAAAGCACCCCAGTAACTGTACACAGCATTTAGTGACATTTAAACAGCAGTGAACCACTGACATTTTAAGAGCACTACTTTCTGCTCATCCACTGAAAAGAGAACCAAAATGTGTCATAATCAAGAGGTTTAAGAGTTAATGAAATTCATATTAGCTGTTGTGAACATTCACGCACATTTGTCATTTTTGTCCAGTTTTTTTTTAGCAGCAATCGTTTGGTTACAAGGCGTTTTCACACAGAACTGTCTAATTGCAACATGACACCCGCCAACACCAACAGACAGAAGGCGACAACATTTCTTTTTCTGTTCTGAGGGGGTGGGGAGCGAGTGGGCCATGTGAAAGGTGCCAGAGACCCTCTGTTAGAGCAGTGGTGCTGCTAGAGAAATGAAAGAGTCCCACGGATACAAAGAACATGGAAATCAGGAATGAACAGGATTTTCTTTCTCTTGGATGCAAGGAGTAAACGGAAGTTGTTGGCTGCAAGAACATAAAGCGGGGAGTGCAGATCCTGGAAAGATACAGATAGGAGAGCTAGGCCATGAAAATCTCTTGAAGGTTAAAGGACACAGAGTGTAAGAAGAGGAAACTACTAAAGTAGCACATGCCATTTGTATACCTGGATTAAATGCAACAGTATATGTGACAGATTCTATAGATTACAGAAGCATATCTACAACATACATTGCCAGAAAAGTGATTCCAGTAAATGAGATGATCCTTTTTCAAACAGTTAACTGAAAAATACATTTGCATTAATCATTGGACAAGCTTACATAAATTGTGTTTGTTTGTTTTTTTACATTTACGTCAGGCAAATTTTACAACACATTGCAGCTGTCACTGAGGAAGTTTTTGTTGGATTCTGAAAGGAACTGGACTTTAAGAACAGCCAATCCATATTATCTGAAGTTCACTGGTATGGTTAAGGAAACAATACAAATGTTTCTAAACTCTGTCCTTGTGGTCATTACTGACCTGGCAGCTGGACTTCTTGGCAACGCATCATTTCGACGTCATTTTCATTTGTTGCTGTCAGCATTGCTTTTATTTGGGCCCCTCCTGAACCTATGGGTTTCCCATTATAGTGTCTTTGCAAAGAGGACACATTTTCTCTACAGGTAAGCCGCAAAAATGCAAATCTGTGCAAATGAATATTCAATCAAGTAATACCACAGCAGTGCTGTTGTTTTGCGGCCTCATGCTACAGGTTATCACAAGGTATAGACAGTGCATTCAGTGGATTGTGTACTGTTGTTTAACAACATACCAGTTGTTCAGCTGACAAAACGTCTTTCCGAAATAAATTTTAAGTGGACAAAAACTCCATAAACCAGTTTTGAAAGTTGTGAAAATTACATAATCTAGGCCTTTATACAGTGCATGCCATTGTAAAGTCTATCCCTCACAGTGTCGTTTTCATCCATGTTAAATTCACGATGGCGTCTAACCTGATTCAGTTTTTATAGCATTCCTGAATAAATCAGTGTTTTTGAATTAATCAGTTGAGTGAATGATACAATGATTCACTCATTAAGATTGAGGGTGCATCCAAATATGCCTACTTTCCTACAATATAGTAGGCGAAAAACAGTATATGAAAAGAGTATTATGTCTGAATTTAATTTTGAGTAATAACTTTTTCACCATTAACCCTCTGGTATTGTTCATTTGGGAGTCACACTTGTGTTGTTCGCGGACACCTGAAATGAAACTTTTTTTTTATTTTCAGTGAAATCAATGTAATATATTTTTGTTTGATAATATTTTTTTTATTTTGTATTTTGAGAGAATTTCATGGTACTATTTAATATTTATGCAATAATTATGATAATTTTTTCCCCATAATACAAAAACAATGTTCTAATATTTTTTCTACTACTTTTCAATTATGGCAGTATTTCATGTTAAAATAGAGACAATGACTTTAAAATCCAATTTTTGAAGGCAGATTAGTTCCATTTGGTGGGAGTAAAAAAAAGAAAAACATCTGAAATTATATGGTTTAGCCACTAGATTCATATAGAGCTCTATATAAAAGGCTTATACATTCTCTAGTTGTTTTTAAAAACGTCTTTCCGAAATAAATTTTAAGTGGACAAAAACTCCATAAACCAGTTTTGAAAGTTGTGAAAATTACATAATCTAGGCCTTTATACAGTGCATGCCATTGTAAAGTCTATCCCTCACAGTGTCGTTTTCATCCATGTTAAATTCACGATGGCGTCTAACCTGATTCAGTTTTTATAGCATTCCTGAATAAATCAGTGTTTTTGAATTAATCAGTTGAGTGAATGATACAATGATTCACTCATTAAGATTGAGGGTGCATCCAAATATGCCTACTTTCCTACAATATAGTAGGCGAAAAACAGTATATGAAAAGAGTATTATGTCTGAATTTAATTTTGAGTAATAACTTTTTCACCATTAACCCTCTGGTATTGTTCATTTGGGAGTCACACTTGTGTTGTTCGCGGACACCTGAAATGAAACTTTTTTTTTATTTTCAGTGAAATCAATGTAATATATTTTTGTTTGATAATATTTTTTTTATTTTGTATTTTGAGAGAATTTCATGGTACTATTTAATATTTATGCAATAATTATGATAATTTTTTCCCCATAATACAAAAACAATGTTCTAATATTTTTTCTACTACTTTTCAATTATGGCAGTATTTCATGTTAAAATAGAGACAATGACTTTAAAATCCAATTTTTGAAGGCAGATTAGTTCCATTTGGTGGGAGTAAAAAAAAGAAAAACATCTGAAATTATATGGTTTAGCCACTAGATTCATATAGAGCTCTATATAAAAGGCTTATACATTCTCTAGTTGTTTTTAGACATAAATACTTTATTTTTTGCACTCTTGATATTTTAGAGTGTCACCCCTTCATTGCTGTGCTCTTTTTTTCTGCAACGTGAATGATTTGTAGATTGTACACACAAAAACATCTCTGTATTTTTGCTTATTTCCCATTCGTTTCCAGTGGCGGTCATTTTTGACCATGAAAAACACAAGTGTGACTATATTTTTTAATGACCATTTAGCTTTTTCAAATCAAGGCCATCATTTTTTATTTAATTTTTTTGTGGTCACATAAGTCATCCGATAAAGTAGCGATTAAAAAAAAATTCAAACAATACCAGAGGGTTAAGAGGTCAATTATTATGTAATCCAGACATCCATTCATCATGTGATCTACAAATCATCATCTTTGACCTTGTGGAATAGTAAAAGTGTCCACTGATGGTGCATTTCAGAATCTTGCCAGAAGTAGTAGGTCATCCAGATACACCTACTGTTTTATGAATACTGTAAAACTGGACATACTACTCTTTTTACATACTGGTGGTTTTCACCTCAATATAGTAAGGAAAGTATGCATATTTGGATGCAACCACAGTATTCTTGCAAATGAGTGCAAAAAGAATATAGGATACAAAACACTGTGCTAAATATTAATACAGCAATATATCATTCACCATTCATTTCCAGGGTCTTCCTGCGCTCAGGTTGGGGCTGGACCTGCATCTTTGTTGGCTCTTTTGTCTTCGTCCTGTCTTTCTCAGTTCGTCGCTCACTCACACTTTCCCTGAGACACCTTTCTCGGCTAGCTGTGGCAGGTGGTCTGTGGCTGGGCTTCCGCAAACTGCTTTGTCTGTTGGAAAATGCCACCGGGAGCTGCTATGAGCCCCTCAGTTCCACTTTTGACTTGGCTTCAGGGACCAATGGAGATCAACCTTTACTACTTTTACGAGAAGATGAAACAAAGGAGGCCTGTGTCCGCTCTGGTATGTTGTGGCGTGGCTATGAAGTATCTGAAGATGCCCTCCTACTGTGTTTGTGCTGCCTGCTTCTAGCTGAGGAGACTGCAGTATTTGGGCCCTACCTGAGCCTGGGTGGACCCTCTGGAGGCCCGCTGCGTATCCTCTTCCTGTTCTGCATCTTGCTGTTGAGTCTCTGGGTGTTCCTGCTGCTCTGCCTGCTGGCCTACTTCCCCCAGTTTCCTACTCAGCTTTTGGGAGGTGCCCTGGGTTGTTTGAGCTGGAGAGTGTTGTATCAGGGCTGGTACCGACTTGGACCTAGTTGGTACTGCCCTGGGAGGCCAGGGGTGGGAGTTCTGTCTACACAGAGCAACCAGGATGAGACATCTGAGGCACTGTGTGAAACTAATGCTAATGAGATCAACTAGAGAAAACTTCATCAGAATTTGGACTAATTACATGTAGTGGTGCTGCAGTGTACCATTGAAACTTGCAGAATATCCCGCCAAATCTCTGCCAGTACAGGATGTATATTTGATAAATTATCAAAATTGCTGGTCTCTATATTGTTCCTTCATGCATGCTTACTAAATTCTCACTGAGACCCTGAAAATGAAAAATTTAATATCCTGGTCGAGAACACTCTTCAAGTGATTGCTCACCTAAAAATTTCATTCAGACCTGTATGACGTTTTGTATGATTTTCACAGTTGTTTGTATCACTAACTTTCCAAATATCTTCTTTTGTGTTCCACGGAGGAAAGAATGCCATACAGGTTTGGAACAACATGAGGTTTCGTAAATTGTGAATTTCCATTTTAGTGTGAACTATATGTTTAATGATTTCAAAATTTGTCAGGTTCAAGTTTAAATATCTTTGGGAAGTTTTAACATTAATACAAAACTGGTTTCACACATAAAACCGTGATTATATAACAAATGAAGACACAAATGAGACATCATATTGATTTATTAGGTTTTTCCCAATTAGTTTTTTTTATTACAAAAATACTCACAGAATTTCTGTAAAGCTCAGCCTTAAATAAGAAACTTGTGATTCATTTATGCCCAAATATAATCCTGGGTCAGTGTGGTGTGGTATACAGTTTTATGCAGTTTTTCAAACATCTCTAAGCAAGAACCATCTCTTGAACAAAGCTTTCACAAATGAAAAACCATCAGTGGCCTCACAACAGACAAAAAAGGGGTGCATATAAGAGACGCTTATTTGGATACACAAAAAAGCATGCTTCAAATTTCTAATGGAAAAGTTTAATAAGGCAAGAGTAGGAATAACTCCTGATTAAAAATGACATTAGTACTGAATAAGAATCTTTCCATCCATCTTTAAAAAACCTGTTAAACAAAACCATAACAACCTAACTTTGAAAAAAAGAAAAAAGGTGATGGACACACACGAAGAAAGCATCTTTCTTGTTCGAATGAAGCTCCAAATAAAAGGCTGAAAAGGAGAAAAAACATTCTCTGAAAAACTTGCTCAGATCATTATAAAAAGGCATGTTCCTCCACAAAGTATAATAATCCTGGACGGTGATTGGTTCAGACAGTCAGGAACCGTTCATCATAGGAATTTCAGATGTGACACAGTCCAATGGCTGCCAGTGGCAATCCATGAGCGAATCGTACAGCTCCTCACTACACTCCATGTATTGCCTATTTAATGTATCCACATCCACCTGTGGGTTTGGGTCTGAGGGAGAAGAAGATGGTGAGTAATTACTGATGTGTGAACTCGCTCTCATCAACAATTTGGTCAATTAAACAGTCAAATTAAATGTTACGAAATATTACCTTCAGCTGGGTCCTCAACATCCTCAGTGCCATCATGTGACTGCTGAAACAATACAAAAAAGGTAAATTCCAGAATAAAAATGGTTTGGATTTATATTTTAAAAAACACTACTTATCTTCATCGATCACTATTAAAATACCTCTGTGGATCCCTGCATGTCAGGGGGCATGGGGGGCATCCCCATGGGTGGGGGTGGTCCCATCATTCCATGTGGACCTGGAGGGGGGGTAGCATATGGGTTATAGCCGTAGTTATAACTGCTGTACTGATCATAACCCCACTGAGGATAGTAATTGTTGTAGGGCTGTTGATAGTACTGCTGTTGATAGTTGGTGTTGTAGCTGTTATTCTGGTTGTGGTAACTGCTTGGTTTATTGCTAAAATGAAAAAAGAAAGAATATGGTGAGATTTCATGTGGATTTGTGAGGTTAGAGTTTACTTATCAGGACTAAGTCTCATTGACCATATAAAACTCAAGTAACAATGACAAAAATAAAATGAAAGGTACCCTTTGTTGACGGCAATGCTTATCCTGATGGGTTTTCCTCCCAGGCCTGATGCGTTCTGAAACTCCTCAAGGGCTTTCTTCTGTTCGTTCTCATCGCTAAACTTCACAAAGCCATAGCCCCTGTACATTTGAAAAAACTAGATCATCAGCAACCACTCCCTCACTCTTCATGCGCCTCATCATGCAGTATATGCTTATTTCAATATGTATTCAGAAAGTAATAATTAATTTGATGGTAGAACTGAAACTTCTCTTTTACTTTTAACATGAAGTAGCATCACTTCAATTGTGAGTTGCTCTTGCTTACCCTATATGGGGAAAACAATAGTTTTAGCAGATTTGTAACAACGGCAAATCACATCCATGTATTGTCTGGCCCTTTTTAGGAGAGGGAGGGTAAAGAGTATCGACTGAAAATAAGCTCTTAAAAATATATAAAATAAAAATGTAAAGGAGACCTCATCTAGTTCATCTGTGGTCAACCTCATGTGATCAAACTGTCAGAGAAAGCCAAGCAAGGTTATGCAGCACAGAGTTGGCGGCTGAAACATTTCATACCTGGAGTTCCCATAAGGATCAGTGACAACTTTGGCTCCTTTGCATGAAGGGAATTTTTTCAGAAAGAACTGATGAAGCTGGTAGTCTTCCACATCTGACGTGAGATCTCCAACAAAGACAGAAAATTCTGGGCTGAGGAAGAAAGTGAGCTATGTAAAGTGAAAGAAACCACCACAACTAAAAATGTCATATTTAACTACAAAAAAGCAGCTACTTTCTCTTTGGTTTCTCAACAAGAGATCAGCAACTAAAATGGTTTTCTGGACATGGTCTTCTTACCCAGGCTCTGGCCTTTTCCCATATGTTGCGTAGTTTAGCTTGAACTTCCTGGGCTGAAATGCAAACAAAATACAACCATTGAGCAAATCAAATGACACTTTGCCTGTAGTATGGAGACAATTCGCTGACAAATAGAGTTATATTATTTGAGTAAGGAAGCTGTTATTTCCACATACCTCCACCAATCAGTACTGGCTTTATCCCATTCGTCAGCTAGTTCCTAACAGAATTTATTCACCAGCTTCAAACAAAGTCATTTTAAAAACACCCTCAACCACCTTCCTTAGGGAAGAAATTGAGCTCTGTAACTTGCCCATCACTATTAATATATGGAGTAATAACTGAAATGTCTCATATCAGGTGGGGGCCATGCTGGTTATACCTTCCTATAATATATATATGAATGTACTGAAATCAAATATAGATGCCAAAACTACACAATTTAATGGGTGCAAGTTTGGCATCTTACCGGATTCGATCCTGGAACCAGCTTCCCATTAAGCCTCTGCACACAACGGTCAACACTGGCCTCATCTGCCAGCTCCACAAAACAGTATCCAGCCGAGCCTCTGAGGAATCACAGAAGAGAATATTCAATGATTTCTGTCAACAAACTCACACAAAAGACAAAACCTGGCTCATCTTATAAGCCATGAACCAAACCAACCAGCTATAAGATTAATCAATGCATGACAAACTTCGGTTTGAAGCAAACATTTGTATTTGAAAATCAGGCAAAAAGACAAAGGTACAAGGCTGCATACTTAACAGCTTTAATGAGGGAATGAACTACAATCCCATGACGCATTGTGAATGACAATAAAATGAAAAACGATCGAGAAATATAAAACTATTAATTTAAAGATGTCGATTATATAGGGAAACAATATATTTTATGTTTATTGCAAAAAACACAATGCTTCATGGGAGTATGTGGGTACTTAAAAGCTCTTTTGGCATGATTTGCTTATTGAGATTCTCTGATTGGTGGAGATTTATGGGTAATGTAGTTTTTCACCGGAATACTGCTGTTAAAAACTAATATTAGAAAAAAAGGTTAACAACCTCGCAGCAGGCTTGTCTTTAAAGAATTAAAAACAAATGATCTGCTTGATGGGTTTTTACTTCTGGAAGCCAGCTTCTGCACTTTATTTAGAGATGTAATCTTACCCGGTAACTCGATGTGTAATTATTTTGACACCGTATGCAGTCTCTCCCATAGTGCTGAAAGCTTGCTTAATGAAGTTTTCATCCATGTATGGGTCTAACTGTAAAACAAATAATGGGATTAATGGCCTGTCAGCATATTTTAAACAAACACCATGTTAATGATTTACAGAAGCAAGCAGAGAAAATGAGAGTTCAGCGTTCTGCGTCACGTGCCCGGCTACAGCGCGGGCGTCTGTGACGTAGACAAGTTGACTTTAACGTACAGTTTAGTACACTACACCCTGTTTAGTTGCCCAACTCGAAATCATAACACGATTATGTAGTTTGTCCCATTATTTACACTACGACACAAAAGCGCATATGCAAATATGAGAGGCCTGTCGACAATAAACTTGAAAAAAAACTACCGTTAATTAGCACTATGTTTACAAATGTGCTAGAATATTATTTTAATTCGGTGTACATTCAGCATTTATTTCTCCAGTTTATTGAGTATTTGATGGCCTGTTGGCCGTGCTTGCGCAACATCGAGCCGAACCCACATGCTGCTGCTTTCTAATCTACATAACTTACTCGCCGAGTTATCGAAGAAAAGTTAACAAAAACCCATTTCTTACATCACCCATCCATAAACTTGTCATTCTGTTGAACATCTTGGCTGCTGAAATTGCTGCACCTCAGAGGTTTGTAAAAAAGAATTAAGCGACAGTTGGCTGCAGAATTTGCGTGGTGGTTCGTGAAGCTAGCAGAACGTTTACTGAACACACACACACTTCCGCTTCCGGCTGCGCAGCGCTCAAAACCAGTGAGTTCACTCCCCAACCGCAGAATCGTTTTAAGGTTCACTAAGGGTTTAGTACTCCGTATTTCTGTAAAGCATCCATGCATGGATACATTACCAACAGTTTTTTTTTGTAATAAAAATAAATAAATAAAACGCATATGCTGCGTTTATGTTATTCCGAGTTTGACTTCAAGGGGGCAGTAGTGAGATTTGAAACTACCAGGAAAAGAATTCAGGAAGATAGGAGGTTAAGGATGTATGGCAGAGAGATAGAGAGGGTAGGATCCTTTAAATTCTTAGGCGTGACATTTGACTCGAGGTTGACATTTGCAGAACAAATAAAGAAAATTGAGGACAAGTGTAAAAAGGTAATTAATGTGATGAGATGTTTGAAAGGAAGAGAGTGGGGAGCCAGTCGTTCATCTCTTAAAAGGATCTATGTGGCCTTGATAAGATCGGTGTTGGATTATGGTAGTATAGTGGTTGGTTCTGCAGCTAAGTCTCTTTTAAAGAGGTTAGAGGTTATTCAGACTCAAG